CCACTAGCAATTGCATCACCAGCACCATCATCATCACCACACAGTAACGCACTATTGTTCAAATTTAAACAGTCAAACACACTTAAGGAGCAAACGATAATTGGCTCAATAGTCAACTGATCGATTACAATTTCAAGGAAAAAAAGAAACACCATTTTGCAGAAGTTGGAAATTAAATGGTTAAACCTTTTATTCTCAATTTTATTCATAAAATAGACAGAATTGATTCGATTCAAACAAATTAGTTAAGGGCATGGTTGCATGCCTTGTCAAACCATAGATTGGCAGTGCTGGGGCAGCATTAAGAGTCACAGTGCTTTCTTGATTGATAAACCAAGTAGGCATGTACCCACTCACAATATGCAGCAACTTTGTGAGTGGGATGAGCTCATAAAAACTTACTAAAGACCATCAGTTTTCATTCAACTCACAAATCAATGGGTTCATTATCGATTCGCGACCATAGATCAACTGATTTCCACTAATCTGTATCTGGTAATAGTCACAAGGCAATATTTGAATTGAAGACCTTGAAATTTGCCTATCCCCACGAAATATCTCAATGCCAAACTGAAATTCTACTACTCTTAACTCAGAAGCCTTAACCACATATATAGAATAAAATCTCCTAATTTAGTTGAAAACTAGCTCTTCTCTTTTTAAATACCTCACACCATCATCATCATCATAGTCTTTTTTTAATTAATTGGTATCGGCTACATGAATCTTGGTCCGTCATTCTACGCTATTAAAGGTTTTACCCGATGCCAAAAGTCTCCAGGTCTTTTCGGACTCCTTCCAACCACGTTCTTTGGGGCCTACCCTTTTCCCTTTTCAATCTTTCCACTTGAACTAACTCGCGTCTCGTAATAGGTGTTATATTGGGTTGACACTATACATAGCCAGTCCACCTAAATTTACTCTCTATCATCTTATTGCCTATTAGTGTCATACTTAAGACATTTTACTTAAAAAAGAAAAACACAAAAATTTTTGAGTATGAGATCGTTCTTTTTGGCACTGCACTGAATCATGTACCTAAATACCTTAGATGAGGCTAAACGATGGCGACATGGCATGGCCACTATCACCGTTACTAAGTCTTTTCCAAGAGAAAAAGGGAAAAGCAAAAGGTCTTTGGACATGGGATCCAGTTTTGGCCTACAAGTCCCCTTCCTACCTTACTCACTAACCTTTAAAGAAGCCCTAATTGGCTCTTAAAAAATCCTAAAATGCTTAAAGGGGAAATGTGATGGTCTCCTTAGTTGTCTCATGTCATTCAACCTCCACAAAGTTCCCAGCACTTAAGGATAAGATTAATGATGGTGAGGGATATTTTAATAAAGTTCAACCATGACTATCATTGCCCATGAATCATATGATGAGCATAAATATGTTGTAAACAAGATTTGGTTTCCAAATGGATGGCCAGGATTTCGCGTCATCATTGCGATCCTTTGAGTCTCAACAACTACCCAAAAAAAAGAATCTCAACTATCCCCCTATGTTGTACTGCCCTATGTCCATGAAATGAACCCAATGTACAAGTGGGTCCCACCAAATGGAGCCCCCTAATGCACCTAAGTCCAAATTAAGAATGGTGGTTAGTGTTGGCCATCAATGGGGTGTTGGAATTTTACTACTCTCAACTGTTAAGGGAGTGTCTACCATGCTACATGTGCTACTACACTGTTTGATCACTACAAGTAGGTTTTCGCTACTCGTTTTCCATGATGGGTTGTGGAGATGAACCATTGTCCAGTCAAGGGGGGGAACGGTTTCATCTCCACCGCTCATCGAACGGCCGACAATGGATAACACATGTAGTATAAAAACACTATATTTAATGCATGTACAGTATACAGTGCCTTTTGTTGCTTCAAAGAAAATCTATGTTACTTTCTTGAGGAAAGGACCCATAACTTTAATAATTCTAATGCTAGGGCTAGGGCTATTTATAGCCAATGCTGATGTCATTGTTAATACGGAAGTTTGAAACATATGGAACTTCCATGATATCCCTATGAACTAATTGAGAACCATATGACTGATTGATGCTAATTTTACCTAAATTTATGAAAAATACTGAAAGTACGTGATAAAGGTCTACCCTGAGTTCTCACACTCATGAGTCCACCTAGTTTTTTTCATGGATTTAGGTTGTAAAACACATCTTGCATCATTATAATTATTGTAATGACAGCAAGATATCCATTTGTTTTTAGGAAAGTGGCTGTGTTATGGTGGTGGCACCCCATACCTGGTTAGCACGTTTTAGTTTTTAATCTTACTGACACCACCCATTGATACTTTACAAAAAAGCTAATTCCTTAATCGATCTGAAAAAAAAATGTGCATGGCATGTCTTCCCAACTGAATTATCAAAAAAAATAAGATTGTTTCATGCGGTTAGACCGCATGACTACATATGCGGTCCAATAAGAGTAAAGCATCCTTTTAAAGATGGATGCAAGTAGGTGTTCCATCTGAAAACAATGGAAACTAACGGTCCAAATGTTTTTTTACTAGAATTATTATTTTTAGTTTTTAAATTTTATTTATTTATTCATATTCATGATATCCATGTTACAGATTACATGTCCTTAAAAATTAAGTAGAAAAATCCATCTCAAAAATAGATTTATTAATAGGCCCGCGTTTCGACATATGCGGGCTTGGCCGCATAGAAACCGGATCCAAAAAAAAAAGTACAAACCTTATTATTTATATAAAAAAAAAAGAATGAATAGCCACAAAGACACTTTAAAAATGCCATTTTTTAATTTAATACCAGTAAATTAAAATTCATTATTCTAAGAACATGTGCCATAGGATCGAGTTTCAAATAACTCCACAAGAGCACGTATGCTTTTTACATTGGGATGGTATATGATCAAACCATCTATTTTTGGTATAAGGATGTCACAATTATCCTTGATTATTGGATGTGAAATCTCATGGCGCAAATTGCCTCATATAGTTTGCAAAATTTTATTTTTGAACCTTGTGTCTTGTCAATGACACATCTTCAATTACCCAATTTCATATCTAATAGTCATTAATGATTGTGACATTCTTGTATCAAAGATAAATAGTCTTACTGTATATATTTCCTTTGACATCAGAATAAGGTGCGCCTTTAAATAGCGTCGAAAGATGTTGTTTCAATGCTGGACATCGTTGTGATGATCTGAAAATTTATTTTCATCTCTAATTATAAAATTTAAATATTAAAAAATACTGTAAATCGAACAAATCTATAAACACTTGAAAATTTGGAAAATTGATGGTCCAAAAATACATTACAAAATGCCTTATTTCCAAGACTTGAAATCTTTTTTTTTTTTCCATGTCCATACATCTTGAAGTTGAGATGATCAATTTAGAATTTTTGGGCATTGAAACAACCACTTCTAGTAAATTTTTGAGGTACGTCTTAATTTGATTGTGTAGAGCCTTTGCCTTATATAAACGTTTTCCTTTATATAGTAGGTTTCTGTCGATTTAGCATAATCAATCCTGAAATGGCCAAGATAATATTAGAATATGATATGATATGATATGGTATAATACTCTTGAAATTCATTCCTCCTGATCATTCTTTTCTTGCATCCAAACAATAAAGTTAGGGGCATGATACATGACAAACATACAAATTGGACGTTGCATGAGCTCTGAAAATGTATTTGCGATTAAAAACATTGGAGACAGGGTATTTTAGTAGCTGATTTCAAATTGAACCAGCTCATTAAGCCATTAACATAATATATTATGTTCTATTATATCTTAGTAGCTCCCACACTTTTGTGTCTCCTAAAGTACTCCCATCTCGATTCCCAAAAAATTCCTACACCATTCTTGGTAATGCTTAATCATTTAATCTTTATTGAAATTACCACATGGGCTCAATCATTTCTTGACAAGATTGTTAAACTTGAACTTATTCCAAATGAAATTATGGTTAGTTCCTTCAGACCATGAGAAGGATGCCTATATGAAAATTCCTTTCATTGTGTTCTTCTTCTTCTTTAGCATATAGTATGCTCCATCGGAGCGAGCAATGTGTGACTACTCACTCTAGTAAAATAGTTAAAGAATTTTTTAAATTTTAAATTTTTTGATCCATCTAATAATAGCTGGTTGATTATTTTCAAAAAAAAAAAAAATTGGATTTTGAGTTCTTAAACTTTTCAACCTTCTGTTCAAATATTAGATATGGTCTCTTTTCGATCTTGTGACTTTTTCTTCGAACACATTTAAGCTTGATTTCTAGGTTAAGGAGATTACGTCCCAAAACTTGAGAATCTAAAAATAGGCTTGTCTTCGGTTTCACTAGAAAATCACTCCTAGCTGGAGAGTATAATCTTTTGACCTGAGGTAATGTTTATCTCTAGGATGGAGCTCAAGGTGGTTAAGGTGGCAGGTCGCCATAAGATGACATATTGAGTTCTATTCTTGCAACGAATGGGGAACCTCATCTCCCTTGAACCGCTTAAAAAAAATAATAAATAAATAAATAAATATAAATATATATATATATATATATATATAAGAAAAAACCTAAAAAATACCTATAGGAGACGTGCTACAGTGTTTCGTCTCCGTCACGGACTTGCTATATCTGTGGCGGTTTATTGATCGGACCCGCAACGGATGGCGCCGTCTATTGGGGTTCTGCTTGAATTTTTAAACCGCCACAAACCTAGTATATCTGTGACGTACCCGCCACGGACATGCTAGGTCCATGCGGTCAAAAAATGCATGCCGTCGGACTTTTTTAGACGGCAATTAGCCTATGGGTGAAATCATGTCACCCATAGCCATTGCATAGATGCTTCCATATATATATATATATATATACTCCAAGAATACACACGCTTACAAAGGTATGCACACATGCAAACCTGAAGCTGCATCGTGACCTTGGGAGAGACGTCAGCATACGTTTATATTTCATGCTTGTATGTATATATGCATCCTTAGAGAGTGATAAGCTGGTGGCGGTCCAAAAGTGTGGAAATCACTCAGAATAGAGAGAGAAAGAGAGGAAGAAAGAGAGAGAGAGAGAGAGAGAGCCATGAGCCGAGGTGGAAGCGCTGGAGGTGGGCAAAGCTCTTTGGGTTACCTCTTTGGATCTGACCAGCCCCCAAACCAGGTTCCGGATTCCGGTGAAACCGCAAATATCCCCCCCGCTAAGGTCTCCCCGGCTTCTCCTGCACCTTCTCCCAAACAATCCAACAATTACCACCGAGCCCAGGGCCAAAACACAGGCAACTTTATCACTGTGAGTGTAGACTCAACACAGTCTTCCTTCCAATATTGCACCTTCATAATTGCTTTCTTTCTCTCTTCTTATGTCTGCTGTTTTGAATTTGTTTCTAGGATCGTCCTACGACCAAGGTTCATCGTGTTCCTGGTGGAGATTCTTCTCTGGGCTACTTATTTGGTGATAAGTGAGATGGGTTTTCTGTTCCTATGAGAAAAGGTCTGGTTTGTGCTTCTTATATGCTTAATATCGGTAAATAAAGGGAGCCAGTGCCTCCAGATTGCATACGCAAGTAGTGGATTCTCTTCTTGTTTGATATTATGTGTTTCTCTTTGAAAGTATGGCTTCTGTGTGTTCTATTATGGCCATGGACTGATGTGCTATAACCAGTTAATGGTTATGTATTGGATTTGATTTCATGAAATAAAAATAGGCAAATGTGGAGACAATTAAATAGGGCATGGCCAAGGGTAGGAGCATGATTAATACACTTCCCACAGAGCTCTTGAGATTGTTGATTACATTTCTGTTATATTAGGTGCTATTTTTATTAAATTAGTTGTTGTATTAACATCATTTTCCCATAGAATGGGTGTGTTTTCAATGACTCTCAGGTCTATAAATGGAATTTGATACCTAAGAAAAATTTCACATCAATAAGATATTTTGGTTTGTCAACTCTAAATAGTTGGGATAAGACTTCTATAATGATGATGATGAATAAGATATTTTAGTTCTTGATGAATGATAGATCATCTTTATTACTATTTATCCATTTTCTCATCTTATACTGAATAACCGCATCATTTTAAAACTCTGAGCATAGAAGTTTTTTTTTTTTATCTATATTTCTTCCTCCTTTTGAAGTGCCTAAACATAGAAGATAACAAATCCTCAAACTCTTACTTTCGGAAATCCTTGTCGTACAAAGTAGCATGAAGTTCTATGTACTATGAAAAGATAGTCCAAATATTTGTGAAACTATTTTTATCCACCATATTATTGGGCCATTTTAATGTAGTTCATAAGCTTGCATGAAATCAAAGTATAATATGGTGGACGTGTTTGTAGTAGGTGTCTTAACCTTCAAGTTGTCAGAAAAAGACGCCTTGAAATCCTCTTAACTTTGAATAAGAGTTTTAAATAATGAATTGTAGAAGACATGTTTGGGGATGAGAGCCTGTCTTTAGTGCTTTTCACCCTAGCTCTTATCTCATGTGAAAATATCCATTCAACTTGAACCTTACGAGAAAAGTAAGTTAATATTAGGGTTTCACACCAAAGACATTAATTAGGAATTGGTGCTTAAGAGTGATTTTCACCCATATGTAGAACTGATTGTGGATTTTATAGTGACCCAACCGCATGGGCAAGTATTTAGGACCATAGTCTAGCTCTAGCTAAGCTTCATCTGAAGCTCAGTCACCATGTCTTAGACTATTCTACACCCAAAAACTTGAGTCCAATTCCCGTTGTGGTGATTGATATAAATGCAATTACAATTATTGTTGATTTGTTATGTATGGAAAAGGTTTCCGTAAGGTATCAGCCTTGTACTATTGAAGTAAGTTCTACGCAAAAATGAGAGTGCTCCTATAATGGAAAACCGTTCAATTGATTGTCTCGACATGAAGAAGCATAGATATAAAGGAAAAAAAAATGGAAGTCTTAAAAATAGTGTATTTTGTAACAAATAATCTAGACTGCCTATTTCAATATTTTCAAGTGTTTATAGATTTGTTCGATCTATACAATCTTCAAGGGATGAAAATAGATTTTCAAGCCAAAAGGTCTCCGACATTAAAACTACATCTCCAGACAAAATTCATAAGTGCGCCGTACTTCTATAGTGTAATAGGGATGCATTATATATACCTCACCCTTTATGTAAATAAGATGACAAACCCATTCTTGAAGCCCATTTTAATGAGCCATATGTAGACCATAGGTAGGAGAATGTGTGGGTGATTTTTGGATCCCCAAAATTTAGTTATGATTTATGCCCAATCAGTTTATATCTTAAATAACAAAAGTTACAAAGAAAAGGATCTAAGTAGTAGGGAAATATATTGTGTAATTCTATGCGATTCATCATGCTTAATAATGCTCAGGCAATGTCTAGCTTACGACCAAATTGGCTTGTGTCCGCGGCTATTCACATGATCTCTATAACCTCGGGACACTTTGCTTACAACTACAACATGGGTTTCATCATGAATGATTCCCTTCAATGTTATACATATTCAAAACTTTATACATCATCAAAACACCCCCTTAGCTATAGTTGGATACACAATTATCAAGACCGGACAAGACAGAACGAACCAGATGGGCAGGTCAGACCAGTTGGATTACTGACTGATGTCTTGGTCAGTCTAGCCCAAAATAAAATCCAGAATTAACTAAAAATTAGTGAAAACTAATATTTAACTAGTTTTGCATGTACAGTCGCTAGTTTTGATTAGTTGGACCAATTCAAATAATGTGGTCAACTTTTTCGTAGTATATCTCATATTTTTTAAAGCATTGTTGTTGTTGTTTTCCTTTACACTTTGAATCTCTGATACAACTAATTCAACTAGCACTCAAACTGGTTTTGACTAGAACATACCCTGAATCAATGGCCAGTCCAATTCTATAAACATTGGTTGGATATATCAAAAACTCAAGGTTATCTTTCTTATAGAGGACACCTCTGGTATAAATAGAGATTTGCATTCGCTTATCATGTCATCAAAAAGTAAATGCCTTAGTGCATGAGTTTAAATACCCAAGTGTTTATCCTCAGCATCTGCTCCCACTCATCCTAGGGAACCATGAGAAAGAGGGGTTACTGCTTTGCTTTGTTTAGGAAAAGAAAGAAACATATATATATATATATATATAAATGGAAAAGAAAAATTTTGGTAAAGAAAGAAGAATAATTAGATATAAGAAGGGAAAACAAGAGGAAAGACGGGAAAGAAAAAGGAAAAGAGGAAAAATGAGAAAGAAAAAAAAAGAAAAAGTAGAAAGAAGTGAGAGAAAGTAAGAAAAAAAGGAGAAAGATTGCCAAAGAAGAAAAGAAAAGAAAATATGAAAGAATGGACATAAAAAGGAGTAGAAAAAAAACTAAAAAAGACTTACAAGGTAAATAAAATGGTCCCGCCAAAATTGTGCTAGGGTATTGCTACCCTTTACACACTACCTAAACTTAAATGTTCAAAAACACTAAATTAAAAGGGGATTAAAAATACAAAGAAAAATGAAGAAAATAATAGGATTTCAATAAAAAATAAAAATAAATTCAAATAAGTAAGAAAAAGAAGAAGAAAACTTGAAGTAAATAAATAAACTTAAGCAATTGAAAGAAGTTCAAATAAGTAAGAAAAAGAAGAAGAAAACATGAAGTAAATAAATAAACTTAAGCAATTGAAAGAAGACAGGAAATAATAGGAATTAAATAAAAGGGAAGGAATAGGAAAGTAAAGAAAGAAAATAATGTGAATTAAGTAAAACAAAGAAAAATAATAATTAAAAAAATAAAAAATAAAATAAAAGAAAGTACTTAGGATGATGACTAATGAATCAATTATAAATGAATGGAGTTGTAGAAAACATGGTTGGAATATCTTTGAACTGGGAACATCCTTGAAGTTGAAGTTGCGGGAGTGAATGTAAAATAATATCTGATATCTAATCCCTGAAGTGGGAATATCCCTGAAGTCGAAGTTACTTGAACGGATGCAGATCGATCTATGATATCTAATATGAGAATGACTGATATAGGATTCCTGAGGATCAAATCTAGGGTTTGTAGGTTTGAGACTCGTCTAGGGCCTCTCTTCTTCCCAAAGAGTTTAGAACTTTTCAATGCTCTAAGAATCTCTTTATAGAACCCCCTAAAGCTTTCTTAGAGAGTTCTCAAAGTTCTTAAGAGTTTCTGAGAATTTTTTAATGCTTTAATGGTTAGGAAGAATCCTTATTTATAGAGGTAAGAAGCTAAGCATCTTAATAAGTGAAAGATGTGGGAATAGAATCCCAAATCCTAATAGAATTATAAGAGAAAATGCATGGAGGATGGTTTTGAAATTAAGCAAGTTGTTTTCCGTATAGGACTAGATGATCATTTCAATTATTGTTAGTATTTGCACATAACTTTCAAACTATATATTACGATTCAGTAATTCTTGAACTCTTGAAAAGCTCTTTTTATTATCTACAATGTGGATAGGTTTGATATGAAACAAGTAAATTTCCCTAGGTGAATCCTAGGGCAAGTTTTAGGGTGTTAATGTGGTTTGTTGTGATATCCAAGGGTGCTATAGCATACTAAGTGGTTCTTATGGGTAATTGGGAGTTCTACTTACAGTTAAGATGAAAAAACTGCCCAAACCAAGTCCAAAATGATAAGAGAAAACAAAGGTTTCTACACCGAGCAATCGGATATTGAAAGCGTCTCCAATGGTCATAAGCAGTAGAGTGTAACCTTGAAATATCTCATATTCCTTAATTGCTTGGAAGCTGTGCAAGAGCACAAAAACACCTCCATCGAACTACCTCCATTAACATATAAGGGAGATTGTGGAGTAAAATAGAAGCACCCAATTTCATATGATGGAGTGATGTGGGAAGAGCTTATTCTTATCAAGTCCTTCTCTTTACCACAAGAGAGTAGTAGAGCACATCATATAAAACAATCGAAGCAAAGGATGGTTCTTTAGAACTCTTATGTTGCATACTATCCCACATGCATTTAGCAACAATCTTTATCCAGGCTATAAAAGGGGAATGAGCAAAAACCAGGAGAGAAGAGAGAGAGAGCTACCCAGATGGATTCAAATACAAAATTGAAGGTACGAGGACAAGGACAAAAAACGGAGAAAATATAGAAGCCAGGACAAGTGTTTATTTTTCTGCACATGGCCAACCCGCACCAAAAGGCCCATTTGAAACTAGAAGGCAGGTACTTGGGCGTCATCTCACCTTCAAAAATCTTTTAAAGATCAAGGTGAGGATAGTTCTTGTTGGGTGTCCCGTCCCAATGTGGGAGGGGCACCAATGGAAATTGCCCTAGTTAAATGGGACAATTTTTAAAAGTTAAAAAGAGATAGCTTGTTGATCAAGTCATTATCCTATAAAAATGAAAAGCCTCACTCATGGTTTGTTGGGGATGGAGGTTTCCTCCATCTAGAGGTCTCTTCCGTCTCTTCCTTAAAAAGAGATAGAGATGAGCCACTTTTAAAGAAGCTATGACATATTTATTTTAAAGAGTCAAAATCCCATTGGTCTATGTAAAAAATAAAACGTGGGCCTCTAGAGTCTTTTAGCTTTTAAATTCCTCTATTGAAAGTGAACCTCTTGTTGGTGTATTTGAAAACTACATAGAGCCAAATCCCATTGTCCTATATAAAAAATAAAACGTGGGCGTCTAGAGTCTTTTAGCTTTTGAATTCCTCTCTTGA